GCTAGAGAAACTGGTGGAGGCCAGAGGCACAGACATCAGCAGCAGCAGCTCCTGAGAGGAGGCGGCAGAAGCAGAGCCAGAAGAAGAGAATGTGGAGGAATTGGATCTCACCCAGCCCCACCCCACCTGCTGTTCCATCTACCTGAGTCCCAAGCCTCACAGTCCCTGCTGCCTTCCAGACAAAGTCTGACAACCCATGGCTACCTGGACCCCAGCATGGTACAGTGCTGCAAGAGTCTTGGTTTGGGGTCTTTAAAACCATTGTTGCTGTTAAGTGTTGTCAAGTTGGTACTGACTCATAGCAACCCTGTATAGGATTTCCAAGGTGAGACTGGTGGGTTTGAACAGCCAACCTTGCAATTAGCAGTCCAGTGCTTAACCTACAGCACCAGGATTCCAAAGAAAACCATTAGGGAGAAACGATTTTTTAAAAACTCAGAGCTGCTTTCCCTTTTAAAAAGAAAAAGAAGGCTATTAAAAAGGTCGGCAGTTCAAATGCACCAGTTGTTCCTTGGAAACCCTATACAGAGTTGTTATGAGTTGGAACCGGCTAGACAGCACTTAACAACAGCAACCACTTATGCTGTGGGTAGCTAAAAGCACAGAACAGGAGAAGAAGCTCAAAAAAGAATTATGACTAGAGAGGCAAGGCATAAATTATGTAGGGAGTTTGAAATGTTCCTAAATACAAAATAACAACCTTTATTTCTTGTCACAATGTTAATTATCAGTATAATTATTTGTTTACTACCATTACATGGGGAGTCCTGGTGTTGCGCAGTAGGACAGAACACAGGACCACAAGGTCAGTTTGAACCACAGGTCAACAGTTCAAACTCACCAGCTGTTCCTTGGAAAGCCTATATAGGGTCACTGTGGGTTGGAATCCACCCAACAGCACTTAATAACAACAACAATCATTACATGGACTCCTGGTGTGGCACTGGAGGACAAGTACTGGACCTCATGACTGGTTTAAACCACAAAGTTGGTGGTTCAAACTAACCAATTGCTACTTGGAAACCCTATACAGGGTTCCTGTGAGTTGGAACAACAGCATCATTTATACCAGTCGATGGGAAAGGTCATACATACAGTGCCTCTGTGTCTTTTTCACAGCTTTCTCTTTGGTGTCCAGAGCATAGAAAGTAATCAAAGATTCACTGAATATAAGAAAAATTTATTGAAAAGAGGTGTCCTGTTTGTTTTTAACATCTATGCTTCTTTTTTTTTAACCCCTCCCATTTGTATCCTGCTATAACCCTACTCTCTTTCCTGCTTCTCCTTCTCTTTCCAGTGAGAAACAACAACCTGCAGTTTGGTCTACACTGTTGCTATCATTCTTAAAATTTTATTAAATATTTATGTACTCACATTCAACCTATAGTATTCCTTCTATGGGTTAAAAAAGGTAAAAGGAGATGGTGACACACTATATCACTCATAAGGGTACTATAAATTTTTACTCTCATAAATGGGGACATGAGTATTGATTATGTTAATCTAACTTTCACAACATGAAAAACAAATATACTCTCAATCTTTTATATCATATTTAATCAACTAATTATAAATGATTTTTTTGAACTGATAAACCTGTATATAGGCTAAAATTTTCTGAAATGCATACATAAATTAACCAGAACAACACCATATCAATGATGTTGAGTCAGTTATGACTCATACTGACCCTGCATAGGGTTTCTGAGGAGCAGCTGGAAAGCTTGAACTGCCAACCTTGCAGTCCAGCACATTAACCCACAGCACCACACCAGGACTCCACATCAATGATAGGGCAGGGTAAGTTACCAGCTGAGGAACACAGCTCTCACATTTCCATAGTAAATGAAAGAAAAAGGCAAGCTGAGAATTCAAAAGTACTGTAATTGTGGTGAAAGGAGGTGAGTTCTAGTATCAGACTGAGATTAGTAAAATGAATGCACTTTTCTAGTAAATGCTACTATCTGAAGATGAATTAAAAAAAAAAAACAAAAAAAAACCCAGAGAGGCTAAACAAATAAGATATTTGAGTCAGTATAAGATACTTAGCTAAGAGGCAGGCAAGGGCCTTTGCTACGGACTTGCAAAGAAAGATACAAGCAGACAGGCAAAAAGAGGACTCTGGTATAATCCTGAAACCCATAAAGATGCCCTTCATCAGGACTTGGTTTTTTTGTTGTTGTTATTAAGTACCCTTGAGTCGGTTCCAGCTCACAGCAACTCTGTACAGGGTTTCTGAGGAGTTTCTGGTGGGAGTGAACTGCCGACCTTGCACAGCAGCCCAGCCCTTATCCTACAATTCCACACTTTCTATATTTTATAGAACATCCTCAGTAAAATACATTGACTCCTCACTTATCAATATGGTTAGGTTCCAAAGACCAAGTTGTTCTGTGAAAATCTACATTCTGTGACAACAGAGGATTGCCGTATCAGATCACTGTATCATTACATAACTGCCAAAGACCTCACTACATAACTGACAAAGCACCAAGAATCATGGCCCAATGGAGTTAACAAACAGCCTTAATCATCACTGCCAGCATAAATTATTTCACAACTCAGCATTTGTTACTGTCAGATGTACATTGTTAGTATACAAACAGTAGATTTTTTACTACAGTCATATATGTGAAATGTCTGATGCCAAAATAATCAGTAAGTGAGGAGTAAGTTTATGCTGTTCAAATATGGGAAAACAGCAATATCACTAACCACATACCAGATGCATGTCATTAAAGCACAAAATAGTCAGAAAGCAGGTTTTTTACTATTGCAAATATGAGATCATATACTAGTTAATAAATGAAGAATTGTTGTTATTGTTAAGTGCCATCAAGTTGGTTCTGACCTATAGTGACCCTATATAGGGTTTCTGAGGAGCAGCTGGTGAGCTTGAACCACCAACCTTTCAGTTCAAATGGCTTTGCAGTCTGGCGCATTAACCCACAGTACCACACCAGGACTCCATGAAGAGTAGGTATACAGTAAAGCCTGCAAAAGCCAGAACCTGTGTAAGGTGAAAATCTGCCAGAGAAGGAAAACTCAAGTATCTTCCACAAACACGAATGACAGAGAAATGGTAAGACTGTATCCTATGAAAGGCAGAAAACTTGTGAGACCCAGAAAAACAAGGCAGTCAAATCAAATTCCAGCGCTCAGAAATCCAATATCATACTTAAAAGAGCAAAAACCATGACCATTATCAAAACCATCAAAAACCATTGTCGTGAAAAATGCACATTGTGAAAAAACTATGCATAAATTTCAGTGTTTTTTTTCTTCACCATAATAAACTTGTACTAACTTGTTATACCATGACTGAAGAGAATCTAGTTGGAGGCACTAAAAAGATAGGACATCAGTTTGAAAGAGCCCCTATCAACATGAATTCTACTAATCTTGAAGCAAGAACAGACATGAAATTTATATCAAAGCTGACATAAAAGAATGGAGAAATTATTAAAGCTTTCTGAGGAGTTTATGGGGAAAATGCCTAAAGAAGTAAGCAGCTTACAAATGGGTAATTCATATTAAGATGGAATGAGATGATGCTGAAGACGAAACTTGCAGTTGCGGATCATCTACATCATTTCACAAGGAAAAACATTAATCTTGTTTATGCCCTAACTGAAGAGGATCAACAGTTAACAGCAGAAACAATCATCAATACCACAGACATCAGAACGGGTTTAGCTTACACAGTTCTGAAATATTCAAGTTAAGTTTGCTTGATGCCAAAAGTATTTCTGTCCAGATCAGCTGCAGACAAGAGCAGAGCTTTCGAGAGAAACTTTTGTAAGCAGTGAGATCAAAATCCTGAATCATTTCTTGGAAGAATTCCAACAAGAGAGGAGACATGGATTTATCAGTAAGATCCTGAAGATCCTGAAGACAAAGTACAATCACAACAATGGCTACCAACAGGTAGAAGTGGCCAGTCAAAGCAAAAGCAGACGGATCAGGAACAAAGGTCATGGTAACATTTTTTGGGGGTGCTGAAGGCATGTTGCTTGTTGACTTTCTGGAGGGCCAAAGAATGATAACATCTGCTTACTAGAAGAGTGTTTTGAGAAATTTAGCCAAAGCTGTAGCAGAAAAACTCCTGGAAACGCTTCACCAGAAAATCTTTCTCTGCCTTCCTATTCCTTTTTCTCACCAAAGAAGGACAATTTGGGGAGAGTTTAAATGGGAAATCAAGAGTCGTCCACCTTATAGTCTTGATTTGTCTCCTTCTGACTTTTTGTTTTCTTAGCTTAAAACCTCTTGCAAAGGTACCCATTTTTCTTCAGTTAATAATGCTAACAAAAACTGTTTTGACATGATGTTGTTGTTTGTTGTTGTTATGTGCTGTGGAGTTGGTTCTGACTCATAGTGACCCTCTACAGGGTTTCTGAGGCTGCAAATCTTTATGGGAGCCGAAAGCCTCATCTTTCTCCCGCAGAACAGCTGGTAGTTTTGAACTGCTGACTGTGAGGTTTGCAGCCCGATTCGTAAGAATCTTCATTTCTTAAGGGGTGGACTAAATAGCTGGTATCATTGCTCATAAAAATACCTTGAACTTGATGGAGCTTATATTGAAAAATAAAGTTTATTATACATTTTTTATCTTTAAATTCCATTTTCCCACACTTTTTGAAGTTACCTTATATTTAATAAACATCTCTACTAACCCTAACAAATATCTATTGAACAAAGATGTAAAATACTCCTGAAAGTTTCCATTTATATGCCACACAGGGTTCTCAGCTCACATCAGCATCCTCCTTTCAATAAACACAACAGAGGAATATAAATAACTAAAATGAGGAAACAAAAAAGAAAATGGCAATGGTCATGCAAATGAGAATTCTTTCCCAAGAAGTTTTTCTTAAAGAATGAAACGACTGCAAACTTCTCCAAATGTGGCACAGGGAACACTAGCCTGCCAGTTTCCAATTCATACTGGCATAAGCAAACACGTATTTTCTATTGAAAATGTGTCATAAGCACAGTCCTACCTTCAGTTTTCTGCTGTAAAACTGTCACCAGATGTGCTATAGCTTCGTCTACATGCAGCCCGTGGAGGTCCAACACATTCTGCGGCAGCAGGGAGGCATTGACTGTCTCAAAGATATCCACAGCTGCGAGATGATTGGCTTCTTTCATCTTCCGCTCATGAAGACCACCCTTAAATTATAAACATTTCACCAGAAGACACTTTCAATATTCTCTACTTAGTAAGAAATGAGGAAACTAATGTTGTTGTCAGGTGCCATCGAGTCGGAACCGACTCATAGCGACTCCATGCACAGCAGAACGAAACAATGTTCGATCCTGGGCCAACCTCACCACCGCTGCCACCCCCGAGTCCATCAATGATGCCACCTGGCCGATCCATCTCGTTGGAGGTCTTCCTCTTTTTCTCTGACCCTCCACCCTACCCAGCATGACATCCCTCTCCAACGATTGTTTCCTCCGGACTACATGTCCAAAGTAGGAGAGACGAAGCTTAGCCATCCTGGCCTCCAAGGAGCACTCTGGCTGCACTTCTTCCAAAACAGATCTATTGGTTCTTTTGGCAGTCCATGGCACCCTCAGTATTCTCCTCCAACACCACAACTCAAAGGCATCAATTCTTCTACGATCCTCTTTATTCACTGTCCAGCTTTCGCATCCATATGAGGCTATTGAAAACACAATGGCCTGGGTCAGGCGCACCCTAGTCCTCAAGCTGACATCTCTGCTCTTCAATACTTTAAAAAGTTCCTGTGCAGCAGATTTGAGGAAACTAATAGTGCCCCTAAATAAAAATCAAACTAAAAAACAAACAGTAAAACTAAGATATATATGATGCAATGGGACAATACACACAAATAAACCAAAATTTAGGGGAATTTTAATGAATTAGTAATAGAGCTCTAAAAATATTGAATTGTTATTTCTAACATTTTCTGAACTAAAAAGAAGGTACAAACACCCATTTCAAGAAAAGAATACACTAGCTTATTATTTGTGTATCTTTGGATAACCTAAGGTCTAACCTTGGCATTCCCTTTCAGCACGTTGTAGATGACAGCTGAACCCATCCCTCTGAGTTCACTGTTAGGTCTCACGAGCCTATACAGTTTAACACCATTCTCATTCTCAGCTTAATCACAAAAGAGATAGCCAACTGAAACCACAAAAAATAAAAGTAAATTAAGTAAGCTTCCTTTAATATGATGCAACAAGAGTCTGGGTAGGAATGTTATTTCCCTAAAAAAAATTATATTAATAACACTCTCTTTTTCTGATGATAAAAAGTGATGCATCACTAAAAACTCAAACATGTTAGACATTGCAAGTCCCCTGCAATCACATTCCATGATGGTCAATTTTGAAATTTTGCCTGTCTTTCCTCCAGAAAACCTGTATCTATTTAACAGTACACAACACCCATGCAAGCAATGTTCAACTGCATATACATCTGTAGTCTCTCTCAGTCCCCATAAAGCATGTTATAGTAAAAACTCAAGAGATATACACGTTTGTGGTAACAAACAGGTGCTACTTTGCACAGCACATCAAAACATTATAATTGTTTTTTACTATTATTGTGTTAAAGATGTTTTAGTGTATCTGAAAGTGTTAAACACGTTTTTATGAATAGAAAGATGTTGTGCTTTTTCAGTGGCGTTGAGTTGATTCCAACTCATATAGACCTGGTACAGAATTTCCAAGGAGCAACTGGAGGGTCTGCACCACTGACCATGGTTCACAGTTCAGTGCTTATTGTACAGTGCTACACCAGTACTGCATATACTATATACTAAGACAAGCATCTGACTAACTGATGTTAGATATGAACCATACCTAACTGTTCTGATAGATTTAGGAACTGAACTCATTTGAAACCTGGGAACTGCCTTTATATAGTACGGTATTCACACAACATTCAAATCACATTACAACCTATTTCATAAAACATAGCATGGACGTAAAGCAATGTATGACTACAGGGGTGGTGGTTATGCACCGTGGAGTCAGTTCGGACTCACACTGACCCTGTACAGGGTGTTTCTGAGGCTGTAAATCTTTCCAGGAACAGAAAGCCAAATTTTTATCCTGCGGAATCGCTGGTAGTTTCGAACTGCTGACTGTGAGATTAGCAGCATGACTTGTAACAACGATGTTATTGTTGTTGTTATGTGCCATGGAGTTGGTTCTGACTCATAGCAACCCTACACAGTGTTTCTGAGGCTGTAAGTCTTTAAAGGAGCAGAAAGTCTCATCTTTCTCCTGTGGGACAGCTGGTAGTTTAGAACTGCTAATCATGAGATTAGCAGCCCAATTCATAACCACTACGCTATCAGAGTTACTTGTAACCACTATAGTGCCAAATAATAGACCCTAACCTAAAGATCAATATGGGCTCTCAAAATTAACTGTCATCTATCAAAGCTAAAAATGTAAATGCATCCACAGAAATTGAACATTTCAAGTTCTCAAAACGAAACCATGGGTTTCTTATTAGAATATCCTATTTATATCACTTATAATCTCTCCATTCCCCAAGATAACTTAAATAAGTCACAATACAGGTGTTATCTGCTTGAAGATTATTCTAACATCAGAAGTGACAAAGAAATATTCAAGAATTAGTTTTGTACTTTACCTGCTGGGCATAAAAAGTAGCAACATTTTTTTTCCCCATTTGATATGCTTCTTTTGCTTTGGTGTAGCATTCTATCCTCTTCTGTTGGTGCAAGAAAGCCTCCGCCCTGTAGTCATCATATGCTGGGTATACAAAGTCCGGAGAAGACACTTCACTTGGTATATCTTCAGTCTCTTTGGATTTCTTTGTCTAGAAGGTATCACACATTAGTAAAATACAGAGAAAGTAGAAGTTACATATTTTTTTCACCTTTTTCTCAGTAGGCAGATACACCAGTGTTTACTTACTGTTAGGTATTTAGAGAATATCATGAACTTATTTTTTTATAATTGTGGTAAATATTTATGTAACAAAACATTTGCCATTTCAGCATTTTTCACATGCACAATGGTGACATTAATTGTGTTCATTACGTTCTGCAATTATTACTGTTTCCATAACCCTAACAGAAGGGTTCGTGTCTTCTCTGATAACCTTAAGCCTGTGTCATGGATTTAACTGCATCTGCTCAGAATATGTGTCACCCTAGCAGGGACATGATCCTCACTGGCAGTAATCTGGCAGTTAAATAATGATGTAATTGTCCACCATGATGTGACCAGCCAAACACAGTTGCAAGAGGATTTGGATAGGATGCAACACCTTTACTCAGGTCACAACCCTGATCAGATGTAAAGAGAGTGTCCCTGACGTGTATCCTGAGTCACCTTTTATCTTAAACCAAACCAAAGCCCCTGCCATTAAGTCAATTCTGACTCAGACTGACCCTGTGGGATGGAGCAGAACTGCTCCATAGGGTTTCCGAGGCTGTAGACTACGCTTTACAGAAGTAGACTGCCTTCCTTGTCTTTCTCCCAACTGGCTGGTGGGTTCAAACCACCAACCTTTCTGTTAGCAGCCCATCATTGAACCCACTGTGCCACCAGGGTTCCTTCCTTTTATTTTCAAGAGATAAATGGAGAAGTGAGCAGAGAAAGAAGGATCTCAGTGCCACCAAGAAAGAAGAGCTGGGAGTGGAGCCCATCCTTTGGATGCAGGTTCCCTGTGCTGTGAGCCTCAGAGACCCAGGGGAAGACTGATACAAAGACACATGGAAATCTCCAAGAGGCTTCAAGCCCACAGATGCTGAAAGGACACAAGGCGTTCCCCCAGAGCCAAGCAAAAACCGTTTTCCCCTAGAGCTGGCACCTTAAAACAGACTTACAGCCTCTTAAACTATGAGGTAATAAACATGTTTATTAAAACCATCCACTTCTGATATTTCTGTTATAGCAACTGTATAGTTTTAAGACAGTTGTATAGACTTGCCTGCTCTAGATATCCCATATAAATGCAAGCATACGATATTTGCCCTTTTGTGACTGATTTATTTTTCTAAGCATGATACTTTCAAGATTCATCCAAGCTGTAGTCTATATCAGGACTCATTTTTCTTTATGGCTGAGTAATATTCCATTGTGTTTATGTACCACATTTTGTTTATCCATTTACATGTCAATGAACATTTAGGTTGTTTCTATCTTTGAATAGTGCTACAGTGAACAGTGGTGTAAAAGTATTTGCTTCTGAAAAGGAAGGAGTGATAGACTTTGCAGTCCAGGAGCGAAGGTCCCTGGGACCATCAAAGGAGAAGAGCAGAGTGCAGGACCCTACCCAGAGAAACAGTGACGCCAGAGATGGAGGCAGAAATGATGATGTGGAGAGATGGAGCAGCTGGGGACTTTAGACCTAGAGAGGGATAGGGGCTGTGTGCTGAAGACCAGTGGCAGGCTTGCAGGGTATACCCTTTCATTGGTTGATGATGCATGGAGGGGATTGTAACTACGGCAATGAAACAATATACGACAGGATGAATGTAAAGCTAATGTTCTCCCATGTAAACTATCACATAACTCACAATAAAACATAAAAGAAGTATTTGCTTGTGTTTCTGGTTTCAAGTCTTTTGAGTACACATAGTGATTAGCTAGATCATATGGTTTGAGGATTATTCCCCATGGGCTGTACACTGAACCATCCCACCAGCAATGGGTGAGGGTTTCTCTTTCTCCACACCCATGCTAACCCTGGCTTTCAGTTTTTAGAGCATTTAGCTATTTTAGCAGAAGTGAGGTGAAATCTCACTGTGATTTTTATTCCCATTTCCCTATGACTAATGACTCTGGTGTATGGTGGCTCTGTGTGGTAAGTGCTGTACTGAGAAACACAAGATTGGTGTTTGGAGCCCACCAGCTGCTCTAGAAGAGAAAGATGAGGCTTTCTGCTCCCACAAAGATGTACAGTTTCGGAAGCCCTATAAAGAGTCACTATGAGTTGGAGCCAACTCAATGATATTTAACAACAACGGCCACTTTGAACTTCTTTTCATATTCCTAGTAGCTATTTTATACTCCTGGTGTGATGGTGTAAGATAAGCACTGGACTGTGAACCAAAAGGTCAGCAGGTCAAATCCACCAACAGCTGCTCGGAAACACTGTACAAGGTCACTATGAGTCAGAATAGACTGGACAGCACTTAACAAAAACAGTAGTCATTTGGAGTCCTGGTGTGGCGCTATAGGATAAGCACTGGACTGCTAATCACAAGATCAGCAGTTCAAATCCACCAGCCACTCCTTGGAAACAACAGGGTTGTTACGAGTTAGAACTGACTAACCAAAACTTAACAACAACAACAGCAAGCACAAGTGGCCATTTGGTTATCTTCTTGAACTGTCTATTCTAATCCTTTGCCCATTGTTTGACTGGGTTATTTGTCTTGTTATTGCTAACTTCTAGTTCTTTATGTATTTTGCATATTAAACCCTTGTTCAAGATATGATTGCACAAAAATTTCTGCCAATCTGTACAGCAAGGATCATTCCCACCCCCTCCACACACAGAGTAGACAGGGATGGACAACTTGGACATTGGCTACCCAAAATGGGGGGAGGAGGGGAACTACAAAGGCAAGAAATGACTGGCTTACAAGCTTTCAAGAGGGAACCTAGATCCAGAGGGTGTGGAGGAAGGTAGAATCTCTAGTGAGTAGTATCCAATCTGTCTAGGTAGGGCTGATGAAATGAAATGCAGATAGGTCTCTTGTGATACAATAGTGAATTTAATTGTTATCAGGACTGATTGTGAGGGTTGGAAATGTAAAGGTAGACGTTTTGTAGCAAGGAGGGGAGTGATTACCTTTTCAGTCTAGGAGCGGAGGTCCCTGGGACCATCAAGGGAGAAGAGCAGAGAGCGGGACCCTACCCAGAGAAGCAGTGATTCCTGAGATGGAGGCAGAGACGATGACTGGAGAGATGGAGCAGCTGGGGATTTTAGATCCAGAGAGGGAGAGGGTTTATGTGCTGATGACCGGGGGGCAGGCTTGTAGTGTATACCCTTAGGTTGGTTGATGATGCATGGAGGTGATTGTAACCATGGCAATGAAACTATATATAATAGAATGAATGTAAAACTAATGTTCTCCCATGTAAACTATCACATAATTCACCATAAAACATTTATAAAAAGAAAGAAAGTAGGAAACAGGGTTGGAGTGGGGTGAGTGATGTTATATTATGGGGCTTACATTCAAAGATGTGAAACAAAATTATGTATGGATTGTTGAATGAAAAATGGATTTGCTCTGTAAAACGTCATCTAATTCACAATATAAAGTTCTAAAAAATATTGCCTCCTTATTTTAGAATGCCTAAGTAATAAAGATTCTCTTCTGTCATTTTGCTCCTGGCTCTTACCATGCCAGGTTTATACCCATCTCAGCTGCCAGCACTTGTGTGTCTTACATGAGGCTGTGGGACAGACCTGCTCCTACTTTCTCCTGCTTGCCTGGCCTGCCCTCCTTACATCCTCTCTCATTTCAAGAAGCAGTGACATTGAGATACAGACACAGACAAAGCAGCTTGTATAAGACAAGATGTTCTATATTTTTGAGATAAATGAATATAACAAAGCTACCTAGTTTATCTTCAAGATGACTGAATGCAAGTCAGTTTAATTAATGCAGCTTTATTTACAGTCAAATCATAAGCACTAACTACCACATATTCAACAAATTTGTGACAGCAATAATGCTGTATGCTGCACAACTTACTTGGTTTTGCTGTTTTGTGGTTTTAATTTCTATCTCTCATCTTTTCATAGATGAAAATTAAAGGCCTAGGAAAGCTGAGTTCCTGTCTAAAGACACCAAGCTTGGATAAGGAATCAGAGAAGAATTCACTGGGAATCTTCGTGGAAACAAGGCTTCCTTCATGCATTAGATCCCTGGGGGAGAAATGAGGTTCCTGTGTAGATAGACCTGAAAGACCAGAATCCAGGGAATAACTTAATCTTGTCTCTAGGGTCACACAGAATCCCAAGAACAGCCTTCTACAGGGTGGAAACAGCCTTCGGCCCACCATCATGTAGGTGGGTTTGAATGATCTGTTTCCAGATGCTCTGCTCCCTTTCAAGAAGAGAGGCCCTGTTCCTACACAGGGCCTGCACCTTTGGGTCCAGCTGGCTTGTCTGTGTCCCCAAAACTAGAGGTGCATAAGTTTCCTGATTGGAACGAAAGACACTTATTGATGGAGAACAAATGGTGGTCTCTTTTCCTCCATCCCTTCAAACAAAGTTCAGCCTCTGACCCTGAAGAGTAGATTGAAGTTACCATGTAACTGGCTCTAGATACCTCAGAAAACTTTGCATGATGCTGAGCCCACCACTGGTGACCCCAGCAGCAGGAGCATTGGGTAATAACTCAAACTGGGTTACCTGGATGATGTGGCCTTGCAGCAGGCAGAAGAATTTACTGAGTATATGCTGAGATGCCCAGGCACATCACAAGGGTTAAAGATACCTCATGCCACTGTGCTGTATCCATTGATTCAAATACTGAACTGGGCCATGTAATATACTATTAAAGAGCTTTATTATAGTATGGAAATACCTGCAGGGGGGACATGTCATTGACAGAAGAGCCTCCTGCAGGGGAGACATGCCACAGACAGCATATCTCTCCTCTTCCTGCTCACAGTCTAAGGGCTTTTTATTTTATTTTATTTTATTTTTAAGTTTTTAAGTTTCTATTGTGAATTGAATGATAGTTTACATGGGAGAACATCAACTTTACATTTAAAAAAAATTACTGACATTCCGGAACAGAAGAATCACACAATTCCACAGAGGAGACAGATGAAGAGCTTCTGGAA